TACAATTTGATGTTACCACAGGCTTTTTTCCCTCCCTGCCGAGCTTTAATATGTAAAGTGTCGACTTTCCTGTGTGTGTGTGTGGTTTGGTTTGTTGTCGTAGAGAGTCTGTTTCTGATTAGGCCGGCTCCCACTAAGCTTTCCCTTCACTGCCACATTTGGGCCCTCTTTGGCAGTGGAACCTTTAGAGTGAATCTCGTCCAGGCCTTAATTGTTTTAAAAGGCTGGCAGACCTGGCTTTCTCTGTTGTGTCTCTCTATCCTCTCTCGTCTCTGTTCTCTCTCTTCTCTAGCTCTCTTGCATCCCTGCTTCCATTCCACCACAGTTTCCTTTGTTCCTCGGTTCTCTCCCAGGGTCTGACACAAATGGAGGGATGTCGGGATGAGAGGGGATCTCATATAGCCTATAATGCTTATCTCCTCTGGGGCCAGTATAGCTCATTAACCTACGTTAGTCTCCACATGCCTCCATTAAAGAGAGACACCTGGCTCCCGAGGGCCCAACAGGGAGATGACAAGTCCAGTCTCCTTTCCCTTCATCAGCATCCTAGACACACGTAGGTAAAGGGCTCATTACACGGAAGATCTGCGCATGGAATATCGCCTGGACTCTGCGTTTCCGTGATATTTCTCTAATGCGGCTGCAGCACTTATTGATGATGATGTGGTGATTTCTCCGTCTTGTCAGCTGCACTGTAGTGTGACATGTATACTACACATTGAAATAATGACATCCACATTAAATGCAAGTGGCTCTCCAACAAGTGAATAACAAGTAGCACTGCTTCATGCTTTAAAGGAAATCAGAGGAGAGCTGAATGTAAACAGCACAAAGGGACGGCTTCAGCCCTGACACACAGCGGCTCTGTTCAGCTAGAAAGAGACTGTAAGCTTTTGGTACAGTGGCAATTCTCAGATTAGCCCCACTCCTTTTCACAGCCAGGGCAGCATCAGCTGCATTCTGGGTTACACATTGAAATGTATACCGCAAGTAATTGCCAGTGAAAAGCCCAAATCTTATTTGGGCAATGCATCCTAAATCTGTGTTCTGGTCTCATGGCTGGCTCTGGTTAATCTGCTTGGTGGGGACTTAGCCTTTCTAATGTTCCTCCCATCCAGTCTGCAATACAGAGGATTGCAGAGATAAGCAGAATTCCCCCACATGGTGCCACCTGGCCACAATACAAATAAATTCAATCAATTGCTTTTATTGTAATGGGAGATAAATAGATATGCAGATGGCAGGGTCTATCTTTGTTTAATTTTCAGGACTTCCTGTTCCTCTTTCTTTTTCTTACTTGTTTCTCTCCCCATCTGTCCTGCTGTCTGTTTTTTTTTTTTTTTAAATGCTTTTCTCCCTGTGCATGTAGATCTCTCAGCCATGCATTTCTGGCGCTACAGCATGTAAGTTGAACAGCATCACTTTAATGTCACACTCCATGTTTTCCACAACACTGACCTCTTTGTCTTCCGCTGCCTGCAGTTTCTCTGTCCTCTGCACTCCCCTTTTCTTTATTCTCCGCTACTCTCTCTCACCCAGTGATGTGTGTGTGTGTGTGTGTGTGTGTGTGTGTCTGGCAGACAAGTGGATGTGAGGGAGTTACAGCGACCTGCAACAGTCTGTAGATTCTCTTTTCACCATTTTCACATTTTACTCTCCTCCCTCCTCCTCCTCTTTACTCAGTGTATGTCTCTTCTATTACGTCTGGCTGCTTCTCATTCAGTCCATCTCCAGTGCTAAGAAATATTAGCATATCATTGCCGTAAGGAACTTCAGACTTCACAATTAATGGGTTTTTAATGGTTCCTCGGGCCTCACCATTATGTGGCCGGGCTTCTTAGCCTAATCCAGTGGGGACCATATGGGCTGCAGCCCGACTCCATACGCCGGACCCAGAGGTGTATTGAAACCAGTGGGGAAGCAGAGCCGGAGTATTTAAATCTAGAGGAGCTCAGGGCTTTATTTAAAACCAAGGAAAGTTTATTTGTTCAAGGGCCTTAGAGATTGGAGAGAGAGCAGGAGGGCTCTTTTTCTTTTAGCCGAGCTGGATTTATTGTCCACTTCTGTTCAAGGTGTGAAAGTGTGCAAAACGTGCGTGTGTGTGTGTGTGTGTGTGCATTTGGTAAATAGGCACAGTGTATTTTTCATCATCTGTCCTCAAGTGCAGACTTATCTATGGCTTAGCACTCCAACCAAGATGAATATGAAACTTTCATCTACTTATTTTTTAAACGCAGTCAAGAGACCACCAACATGGCTGACTATCTCACGGTTTGATCTGAAACATCTAGCAGAGCAAAATAAATATGACACCTGACATGCTAACAGTGTTGGATTTATTTTTACCTATGACATTTATATTCAAGCCCTGAAAAAAAGAAAGTGTCTCTGTTGTAGGTTTAGTAGTTGCTGTCTGTTTGGACAAATACGCCTCGAGTTAATGTGGAAGTAGATAGAGTTTATTTGCTCACCGTAGACATCTGTGCCCACAGGAGGAGAATTACTCACTTGGTTCCCTTACACTCAAAAAATATGTTTTGGTAATTGTTATGTCTCTTGCACCTTCACTCTACAGAATGATGCATGTTAAGAGTTTGGCTCTAGAGGCCTGATTTTAAATTCATCCATCTCTCTGAGCTAGAATAAAATCAGAGTTTAAGAAGTGTACCTGCAAGCGTGATTTGTGACACCACAGCTAGTTTGAAAGCCACTTGAGGCCAATAGGCACTTTACACAAGTGTGATGCAGAAACTTGAAGCTTGTTTTGCGCATACACGGATAATGGATCACACCAGTGATGCAGGAGATGTATCCAATCATTAACCTTTTTGAAACGAAAAACATTCGCATGGATTCTGGATAATTCAAGGATGGAGGAGGCGTAGGTGCCATTTTAACAGCCAAGCTAACCAGATAATTAAACTTTTTCATTGAAAGATCATATCAGAGAGAAATTATTATTCAAACCAAGTATTTTTTGGAAAACTTTCAACATGCCTGGAGGGTATTTTTCATTTCTAACCACTGATCATGCGAAGTTTGCGTGTCTCTGTGTGAGTTTTTTCAACTTTATTCTGCATAGTACTTAATTTGATTTAACTGTCCACTCTGCAGTTATGTCAAAACTTTAAACACCTTCAGACTTTGTCCTTGTTCACTGTGCAGTAAACTCGGAGTGATCCAATTTGGAAATCTAATCCCTCTAGATGGACCTGAGAATAAATTACTAAAGGTCAAACTAACTGGCAAAGCAGCTAACAAGCCAGCAGACCACAGTCAACACCTGAGTGGAAAGCAGCCAGAAAAGCTCTTTACTCATTACAGTTTCTGTCGATGGAAAGAAGATTAAAAACGACTAAAGACTGTGTCCCCTCATCTCACGCACTTTTTCCTTAACATGATCCACTTAGGCTTTTAATGTAATGCATGTTATATATCAGCGTTGTGGTGTTGTAGCATGTGTACAGTTCTCTCTTTTGTCCTTTCTTTCCTTTCTTTTTTTCTTTGTGTGTGTGTGTGTGAGTTTGAGGCAGTACAGTAAGTGCTGATGCAAGCTTTAAGCGTCCCTGTCCAGGTAATGGCCTGTAGCAGTACTGCAGCCCGGGGCCTGCCAGAGGAGGAATGACATTTACTGCCACCTTAACTAGCTCATTAGCCTGCTTCACAGTCTTTCTCTCTATTCACTCCACAGAGGGTTAGAGAGTATAGTACTGTTTTACACTGCCAGTTGTTATTCCGCTCATGCCTTTGAAGGCTATCAAGATGGAACACTCAGATTGTTTTGGGAAATGGCTTCTTGTTCTCAAGCTCTCTATGCTGTTTTAGCACAAGGGTTCACTCACGCTGTACCCAAAGAAACAATTGATGATAGTGTCAAATCTTCATGTGATTGTGTTTCATTGTGCTCTTGGTGAGATATCACTGCCACATACTCACCTACAGTGAGCTCATCTTTTAATCAGACCTGATCCAGGAGACTGATTGGCCCTATTGTTCATTGTACAGGCTATTGAAATATGCCTTTTATTCCTCCTAAGCCGACAAACGCACACGTGTAGTAATGCATGCAGGCGGGGGGACACGTACACCCACCTGTGTCGCACACAAACTCGCATCTTCATTATACCACTTCTTCGGTTGATTGGAGGGTTGTTGTCTGATGTTGATGTGGGACAGACTCAATATAATCCTTCCTCTCCTCTCTAGCTGCCTGACATTTCTCTGTTCTTCATTAGGGACGAAGGGATTGAAGGAGTGAGGCACAGAAGTAACGGCAGTGAAATGATATGCAAAGACGTAATTAAAACATCAACATCGAGCCTACTAGCCAGCCCTCCGTTTTCTGTGGAAGCTACATTCAGCTTTCTGCTGCTGATGACTGACGTGAGCTGATGTGTTTGTTTAGTAGGCGTGTGTGCACAGTGACTTTACAGCGACACACACACACACACACACACACACATTTACATACACTCAAAACAAAGACCAACATGTAGAACACGGTGTTTCCACTCCGGCTAGTGGAATGCCCCAGGCCCAGGCACATCCTAAGGCCTTTGTTCTAGTGGTGTTTTTTTTATTGATAAGGTCTGCAGGGACCTACAGCCGTAAAACACTGCAAGATGAGACAGCACACTACAGTGCATTTGCAAACTACACAGAAGCTTACTGAAAAAAGAGTTCATTGCACAGCTATGTGTGCACGGCCCTCTGGTTCCTGGTCTTGTGTCTATTTCGTTCAGTCAGTTATCTAGTGGCTCTAGTGTTGGTCAGTGCTCAGACTAAAAACAGCCCAAGGCCTGTTCTTACAGTCTGAGCCCCGTTTGTCTTCCTTTCACTAATTGACTGTGGGTGAGTGTGTTCATGCTGGTGTGTTTGTTGTACTCCACCAGAATGACCGCGTCCTGTTGTTTACGGCGTTAATGCAGCGGGTGAGACGCTGGACTCTCTGTGACTCATAATGAGTTATTGTAACGCTCTCAGAAGAGCCACTCGGAGGCATGACCGCGGGCAAAGCGCAGGGGCCTCTGTGTGTCTGCACTCCTAACAGGTATCAGACAGCATTACAGGTTCCCACAAGAACTGGATTAGACAGCACATACTCATCTCCTCAAAGTAAACACACCTTCCCCTTCTATCCATGTCAACATCAGTCCGGCGTGCTCTGGTTCAGCCTTTTGTTGAGGATCACTGGGAATATGAAACACTCTGGATGGCTGTGCTTTAAAATCTTATGTGCTGTCAGTTTTGTTTAAGACGTGTTCTCGTCTGTGTTGTGCTTTTAACCCCGTGCTGCAGAATCGGTGTTGGCTCTCCTGTTTTCAATATTTATGAAGCAACACTAAAGTAATGAAGCAACACTAAAACCCCGTGTCGAGACCACTTGAATGAAGATGTTTTGCCTTCCTTTTAACTTCTGGCACGAGAATATGTTTGAACAGAGTTGGTTTTGGTGCCAAATGAGGTGCCCATTTGGCCAGTACTTAATACTCTACTCCATTCTCTTACTAAAACCAGCGCGAGGGGAAGTGTCCTCAGCAAGCAAGTATGCCAGCTGTGACCAATCACAGAGCTTCCCCCGTAGCTCTCTCTATTCACAGCAGCTATATTCTGCTTTAACTGGTCTGGATCTCTGGATTAGTGTCGGCCAGAATAGTAGAGTCTTTTTACGATATTTCAAGTCAAAACAAAAACAAAGTGACTGCACTCTGTGTCATTTTTTCACATCGCCTTAGCTCATAGCCTCCCCATCATTAAAACAACTGCTTATTTCAGACAGCTTAAGTAAGCTGTCTTCTTTTTTCCCCCCAAATACTTTGTTAGCTCTGTGTCTGCTTGTATTTTCAGTCGGCTCGCTTAATAACAGCCTTGCTTTGACTTCCACTGTGTGTAAGTGATTGCGGGTGTGTGTGTGTGTGTGTGTGTTTGTGAGCTTGTGTGCATGTTCGATGCTTGGAGATTTTTGTGGCATCATGTGATGAAGAGGTCCTGCAGCTCTGGCAGGCTTGCTTTTGGGGCACTCGTGAAGGTTTTGGGGGCCGTGTCAAACCGTACCAGGCTGTTTTAAGGCAGCTCAGCATGGGACTATCCAAGTGTAGTTAACATGTATGAGAGTGGATTAACATGGAGGCCTCACTCCTCAGGCACACTCTGTCACAGATCTGTCAGGCCTCTCGGAGACCCCTCTCAGCACAGCTCTCATCTGTCAACAGGCCGACTGACACACACGTTAACAAAAGGCGTGCACGTGCATGCACAAACACATACATGCAGATGTGCTGCACACTGCAGACACACATGCACCCTCAGACAGAAAGAAAGAATACAGTCACATATTACAACAGTTGATGTGGCCTCGGGGATTGTATGTGAACTTTTTGTTTCATTGCATGAATTTTTTCAAACATGTGGGACATTAAAAGTGATGCCTTCCTTCACTGTGATGACCAGCTAAGACTAAACCACAGCCTGAGAGAGGGAAATACCAAAGTTCTTGTTTAATTTATTGAACACAGCTGTCCATAGTCTGACATTTGTTGAACTTAGTATGCTTTATCACCATGAAGTCATCCATTAAAGTGAACTTTGTCCGGGAGTCACACATTTTTCCTCATTTTCAGTTCTATTATGACAAAACACAAACAGATTTACTTACCGGTGGTTATCAAGTATTTGCTTATTAATTTTGTCACAGGAAAGTATTACATTTGGATTCCAAAGGTAAGCTGTCTTACCTCAAACACTGTTCTTGAAACAACAAATGTACTCTCTGAAAGATCAAAGGCATAACACGCATGAGAAGGTCCCATGCTTTAATTACCTTTAATTAGTACATTCTTACTCCTTAGTTGCTGTTTGTTGTCTGCTGTATTACATCTCCAGGTATCATGAAGGTATTAAAGATAATTTTGTCTTATGTAAGTCACTTACTGTACTGTTTGTGTCATTAAATTTAAGTAACTCTAAAGGGCTTCCTCAGGCACTTGTTGACCAAGCAACCAAATTCATTGCCAAACAATACAGTGCACACTGAAACAGCTCTGATCATCTTAATGCACGTATAAACCAAGATAAGCTCTTAATGAAGTCATCATCATTCACAGACAGGCAGGCTTAACACACAAACACACATCATGCATGTAGGCACTAATGCACTCCACTGTTTAACTGTACCAGTGCACTTTGTGACCCTGTAACATAATGATTCTAAGTACGCTCTTAATATAATCTCCCTTTTTTCCACCGTGAGTTCATAACCAAGGTGACGTATTGCAGGACTACGGGGGGAAGGGTCATGGTTGTTTGGAAAATGGCCGTCATAAATAATAATGTTATGGATTCCAGGGGTCAATCAGCCGTCTCGCCACATTAAAAGGCAGGTGATTGATTTGGCTAAAACATGATCGATAGGTGACCCCTGCTGAGACGCGCTCCTCTATATGCAGCCTGTTTAGGTTGCGTGCACGTGCCGTTTTGTGTGTCTTTGTGTCGGGTTGCAGGCCAAGCTCGCGGTCACGGCCGCTCACTCATCCAGGGAACTATGGGAGGCAGCTGCGCTCCTCTGCTCTGTCTCCTGCTCAGCTGGGGGCGGACTGGGGTGAGGTGAGCTAGGGATTGACAGGGAGGGAGGGTGTGTAGGTTGGAAAGGAGGGAAGAAAAGACGGGATCTCAGTCGCTGTCTGCCGACCCGGCTGCAGGCTGCATGTCAGCTGGGCTCATTCTCCAGACCCCCACTCCGCTACCCCATTTCGCCCTCACAGTGTCTCTCCCCAATCAGTGATGGGCGGATGATTTGGAGAAGGAGGAGGCGCACGGCCAGTTAGTTCCCCCCAACAGCAGCCTTCTTTATTGGGCCTTCATTGGGGATTATTGTTATTGAATTATGGAGGGCCTCCCTTCAGACCAATCTCTGGCAGGAAGTAGGGACAGGAGGCCTTCACACAACTGCTGATGTGTGACCCTCTTTCCCACCCTGCTCACCCTCTACACCCTCCTCCTCCTTCAGTTCTGCTCCAGCCTCACAGCTTCGGCAAGCATACACACCACTTGGATCCCTTACATGTGCACGCTCACAGACAGACGCGCAGACACGTGCAGGTGTACACGCACACACATTCAGATGGCGAAGGAATGCACCATTTATAGTCATTTGCCTTTTGGCTGGCATTACCCAAGCATTAAGAGAAAGGAAGAATAAATAAATGGAAAGTGTGAGGCAGACAGATGAGGTGTATGAATGGGGTCATATGGGAAAAGCTCTACGTGAGGGGCGGGGGTGGGTTCCAGTCTTTCCATACCGCTGCCTGTCTGTTCACCCCAGTCCATCCCTGTCATTGCCCTCAGGACTGCATTCCTTACACCCATCCCTGAACCCCCCCCTCTCCCCTTACCCTCGTCTGGCCTCAACACCCCTCAGCCTCAGCCCTTACACATGTGTTCAGTGGAGGGGCACAGACTGAGAGACACCCAAGAGACCGAAAACCATTTATGCATGTATGAACGTTAAAACGCACACACTTGAACGCACGCACATACACACACTTGTCATCTGCTCAGCACCAGCTCCATGCCTTTGTAAGGAATTGAGATTATGATTCCTTATTGTGCTGCACCCAGAGGATTACAGAAGGTGATCCTGGCTTTGCTGATGTCTGGGACCTACGTATATACAGTAGATTAGACACTGTAATTTATATTGAATCACAGGATTGGTTGATGTCACGAAACTATTATGGCTAGACACCAAATTGAATTCTGTGCAGTGATGTTTAGCCGATTACTGTGAGGTAATCTGGTTAAAGACACACTGTTTGCTAAATCTGAGGGATTAACTTTATATCCACCAGGAAATAGTTTATGATACCATGGCTGCCCCATTTATGTTTCCTCTTGACCCCTCCTAACAAACGCCATTCCTTTTTCACATGAGATAGCTTATAAAAGGATTTCCTGACCTCTGACCTCATGTAACCCCCCTCCCTCCCCCACGCCTGGTGGATTTACACCTGCATGAAGGAACATATGACATCTGCGGCTCTGCATTAACACCCAGTGCTTTACATACATACAAATGATCCTCTTGGGACACCATACAAAGTATAAAATCGCATCAACAAAGTGTTTGCCTTGTTGTGTTAAACAACCAAACAGACTTATAAGAGTTTATGTGCATTGTGCTGAAAGTTTCTGCTGTTCCGACTGCGCAAAACCCAGATTGTTTTCTTTACCCCTCTCAGGTACAGTGGGACATTCTGTACCCAGCCGAAACTGATCCTAACACTGTTTATTCTAGCCCTTATGTTGTACCACAACAGTGTGTGATGAGCACACTATTCCATCTGCAGTTTCCTGTCTCTCTCTCTCTCTCTCTCTCTCTATTCCCTCACACTCCAAGTGTGGAGGGACAGTGAATCATGTGTGGAGCTGTTGTCCTCATGGCTCATTTTGAATGCACTCTGACCTTTCCTTTTAAACAATTCCTGCAAGGAGGGTGTGTGTCTGTGTGTGTGTGTCTCAAGGGGGTCTCCACTGTCTGTCCTCTCTAAGACAGAGAAACTACCTCCCTTAGTGCGCCAGAAACCGTTAGCCAACCAAACACCCCGTCCTCCTCCCTCCTCCTTCTCTTTCTCCTCGTACTTACCTCCCACATATGGACACAGTTATTTAGCCTCTTGTTTTAGAGGAACAAAGAGAGTGTAAACAGCGGTCGGCAAGGGGGGGTGGGGTGGTATGAAGAAATGTAGACGCATTATATCATTGTGCTATGAAACCTTCCCACAAGGCCTCTACTCTTCCCCTGTTCCCCCTAGGAAAAACAGGCCGCTGGGTTTGTGTTGACCCAAACATTGGTGTGGTTTTTTTACAGTAAGAACAAGGAAGAGTGGCGTGGGGCGAAAGGGGAGAAGAAAAGCTGTATTTTTCCAGAAAGAGACAGAAAGCCCAGTTGTGGGATAACAGGAAGCCAGAGAGTTATGGGGGGATCTGGACCGAGGTAGCCAAACATGGAGCCGTCTGGCCGGAGTCTGTGGTCAACTCATGAAAAACAGAAAAAAAGAGTAGGGTATTGTTTGATGTGGGTCTCCCATCTTAGTTTCTTTAGCTTACTAAGGAGAAAAACATTGTACAAAATATGCCAGCATAGCTCTTATGGAGGATTCAAATCAACGTATCAAACACATTCTGTTGAAGAATTTGAATTTAGATGCAACAAAATAGACAAACTCTTCCTCTGAGAATGATCTCATCTCAAATCTGGCTGAGTCCTGATAGAGCAAGAGTCAGAGAAAATGACAGTATACTGTAGCATGCTTCCTTTTTGGATTTCATGCCGGTCTTGCATGCTTTTTGGCAGAAGATTTTTAGTGTAACAAAACCCTCTACGGCCCCCGCTGCTAATGCTAGACATTACCTCACAAAAGTGGATTTATACAGAGGAAATAGCTAATCCCTCAGGTAATATGGGCATGAATCAGTCAGGCCAGACAGCAGGAAAGATCGTGCTCGCTCGTTCTCCCAGCTCCAGACACAGCAGAGATAGCCCCGTCGTGCTGTAGCTGCACTGTGTACAGTATGAGGAGGAGAGGGAGAGGGAGAGCTGTCACTACCCTTTACGCTTCCACTTTTACTGTAGCTCAAGGCTACAGCGTAGAGGACTGCATGTGTGTGACTGCAGCAACAGTGATGGTTGAGCTGCGAGGAATGTGAGTTCTGTGTGTGCTTGTGTGTGGCTCGGGGGGTGTTGATGGACAGAAATTTGTGCCACTAGAAACTGAGCTTTAGCAATTTATATTTGAATCTGAATTGCTCACTTTGAATAATTTTAATTAAAAAAATGCATTTGGATCTCCTCATTTGAATCTGAATTTCTCAGCTTGATCAATTGTGACATGCATTTGAATTAAAATCTCATGATATGAATTTTGAATTTGTTCGGCTGAAACAATGTTCCAATAAACCTTAAACTGAACAGAGTATTTTGAAATTGAAGTCAGTTGTTGTGAAATTGTATTTGAGCCTTACAAAAGAAAAAAAAATGAGCAACCTGTATTTAGTGGTCATGATTCAAATTTGGTTCTTGAAGTTCAGGTTCAGAATCATTCACAGTGTGCAACACATCCAGATCATCTGAGAAAGAGCAACTGTGTACATCCACAGAACATCTTTTGGCCAATGCAATTTCCAAACAACTGAAATCAATTTCAAAATTTTACATTCAGTGCACTGCATTTACTGCATAAAGAGCTTATTCAAGTTTTATTGGAATACAGTTTTGATCTAATGAATTCCAATTTTACAGATATTCAAGTTGAAGAATTCAAAGAATGACATTTAAAATTGTTTTTTTTAAATTTCAGTTATTCAAGTTAAGCAATTCGAAATCAAATATAAATTCATATTTCCCTCCATAGAGAGCAATTATGTGCAGAGTCACATAACTCTTTTTTGCCAATACAATATCAGACCAAATTAATTCAATTTCAAAATATTACATTTGTTTTTCAAGTTTAGCAAGTCACATTCAAATATAAATAATTCCAATTCAATTTCTAGTGGCACGTATTTCCGCCCACAGAGTTGGTTTAATTCCTGTCAGTTTCTTGATAGATAATGCTGAATGATGGTAATCACCCACACATCTAAGTATTTGACGGATTCACGTGAATATAACTGAAGGTGCAGCAACTGATAAGTCGGACACACCTTGCTGCTTCCTGTCTCATTTTAAGATCCTTTGAATATGCACCAATCAAGCGCAGCATCACATTGTGTCTCCTCCCCCAGGGTGTTATTGCACATCCCCAATTTCCTTCCCGTACACACACAAACTGGCTGGCTGCTGACCGGCACTAATGCCCTAATGGCGCTGTCCTACATACTTGGTACGCTAGTGTCTGTTGGCAACTTCCCTCACCCACCCAGAGCTGGAGGCGGATGGGGAGGAGAGGGTAACAAGATGGGAGGAGAGGGCTGTCTTTAGGCTGTCACATTCACCTCCACTCATTTCCCATTGCTCTGCTCCTATAGCCTGCCGCTGAAGCAGCTTTAAGGCCAGACCGTTATGTTTGCGGAAAGAAGAGACTGATTTCATTCTTTTTCATTTTTCTTTAATCTTGAAAATCTTCAAATAAATTGCCTAAATTTATAAGTGCCAGCATTTCTTAAGCACATTTATTAGGATAGAAATTAAATAAAAAAATATTTCAGCAGTCAACAAATTACTTGAAGTTTTGTTGGTCTGCATGCCCCTTGTTAAAATTAAACCAACGAGTATAACTGCGCTTCATTTAATTGCCTGCTGTCCTTCTGTGTTAGTTATTTATTCCATTCATCAGAATTTTCACTGGTTGTGTTGTCTGCGAACAGACAGCACTGTTTCTGCAATTATACGATAATGGCATATTGAATTTCTCTGGTACATCTCCCAAAGAATGTCATGGGTGTCTCGGTTTAAAGGATAGGTTTGGATTTCTTCAAGTCTCTCATACACAGCGAAAGAGTAATGAGTTGCTGTAATTATCCGTCCTCGCTGTGCTGGCTGGATTGCTTACAGTGTAGAACAACTCCACTACACTGTATCTGAACAAGTAATGCTGTGACCCCGA